TTTCCCACGTATGAGATAAAGAGATAAGCATGTATCTGGCACATGGTTTAATGTTCCATAAATGTTATTTACTTCCTTTTTCTATCCATCCCCCACCACTATTCATCCCATCTCTAACTCCCATCTCCAACTCACACGCATACACAACTCATGATTTTCAATTTTAACATTCGTCAAAGTCCAGCTGAAGGTCCACCCTAAGCAGGAGGTTTTCCTACGCCAGTCAAGCTTCTGTCTCCTTTGAAGTCATAGCACTTGCTTCTAACAGCCTGTGGGGTGATTATGTGCTGTCCTGTCACATCATTGGCACAATTTAATATCTTACGACATTAATGTTTCTGATGTCTTATGGCATTATTTAAGATGGTACCTATATTATTATTATGCATCTTTGCACTACTGAGCTTTTCATATAGTTCCACTGGGTCAGCTAACTCCAAACTCCTTTGTGTTGCTCCTGAGGTCTTGGCATAGGAGACATCAGGAAGTGTTCACCAATTCAAGAGTTCGAGTTTTTGTGAAGTTTTCATTCAGCAGAAAAATGATCCAAGTCAAATAAATACAGCCAACAATTCTCAAGGTTTGATTCAACCCTGTTTAGAGAGTCTGTGAGTATAGACCCCATGCCTAATTTTGGACATAAAAATAAACTGTGCCCATTTGCAATCCCTTTAGCACATGTACACTCCCAGAATTGAACTTATCTTCTTTTGAACTACCAAAGAATAACTCTGTTACTTGAAAATGAAAAACCAACCAACCCTTAAAAAAAAAAGTAGTTCCAGTTCAGATTTATTTTAATCTCACTCTGACATTTCTGTAGCATATTCTAATAATACTATATACATAGAAAGGAGTAAATATAATGTTATGTACAGTTTCATAATAAAATGTACACTCTGTAGCCACTATCCACATTAAGAAATGAAATATAAAATAGTATTAGTAAATCTTTTATATCATCAAATTTTAGTCTAAAGCAAATTAAGCCTAAAATGGTTAAAAAACTTCAAGATGATAAAGGAGCTTTTAAAGATTGAAAAAATCCACCAAGTATCATAAAATTATATATTGAGATTAGAAAAATCTAATCCTAATGATGATATCAAACACTATATATAAAATATTTTTTTAAATGGGAAATATATATTTTTTTCTATTGAAGCTCTATAGTGTAAAGTGACCTTACAGCCTGGATTTTCTGGAATAGTTACAATCTCAAATATTCCATTTCCACAAACTAGTGGCTTTTTGGATATTATAATATTTTGTTATTCAGGCTAGTCTACATCTTCCAATCTACCTTTTCTATCTGAAAATAATATAAAAGTTCTTTGTGGGGTCATGTGATCTAAATGTTGGATTGGGTACATAAACTATCATAGATACAGTAGAAAAAAAAAACTATCAGGTTACAAATCTAGGCGATCCTGACTCTAATCTCCGTTGAATTATTGGCTATAAAGTGAGCTCTAGACTTGCAAGTAGCTAACACAGAAGGAAATACAACCAATACTGCGATTCACAGTATCTATGAGGAAAAACTAAACTAGTAGCACAGAAGCCCAATTATTCACGATACTAAGAACTGAGATATATTTCTCCACTAAGTCCTCACAGAGATAATACAAACATTGATGACATCCTTTCTTACAGTAAACACAGCAATGTGTTTCATTGGATTTCTTATTATAACAAATATGCTGAAGACTTCAGATGAAAACACAAATTCACAAGCACTAACATATGCCCTCTGAAATGATGTTTTTGGGAAACGACTCAGTGCCTCTTCTAGGTGCAAGTGTTATTGCTCTGTGAAGGTAAACATCCGGAGTTTTTCAACTGAGAATATTAAAGTTGTTGCATCTTAGTCAAGAATTCATATGTTCTGAATTGACCTGTTGTCTGTAACTAACTAGTTTGCTGGTCCTGGTTTGAATACTTGAACCAAATTTTACTAAATTCCAGTGAAATTGAGACAAAATGTCTTTTTACCCTTTCTAGATACCCAGGGAAGAAAACGTTTTCTTCGGGGTTTGGAACATGCTACAAAAATGTCAGAGTAAGTACATAATCTGCATGTCAATGTGCATTTGCTGCATATGAATATAGGGGGAATTCTACTTTAAAAAAATGTACCAAAGTGCCGGCTGAGTGGCTCAGTGCCGGCTGAGTGGCTCAGTTGGTTAAGAGCTCGCTCAAGAGCTTGAGCTCTGAGCAACAGCGGTTCAATTCCCGGCCTGAGCTGAGCAGCCGCTGAGCTGCCAACAGGTGGCAGGATGGCTCAGCTTAAAAAATAAAATAAAATAAAAAATGTACCAAAAATATTCCCATACTTTAAAGTGATTATTTTTGTAAGTTATTTCTTGGGCACAATTTAAGTGTTTAGTAAAAGCCCACTGATTATCAGACAAAGACAGAGGAAGTTTAAAGTGAAACTATTAGGAGCCATAATCCACTAATAATGGATCAAAAAGAAAAAAAGGTGAAATTATGCAAATCAAAAGAAAAATAGTATTATAGGTAAAAAAAAAAAAGTGTGATACACTCAAACGTATACAGTTAGGCATTTCTATCAAAGCCGCTTCTAACTTTTCTTTCACTGGATTGTGTTTGGTTTTGTTTCCCCCACAGGATAAAGAAGAAAAGCACCCAAGTTTCGCTGACCATCAGTTCCCCAGTTAACGAAAACTCCACCATCAGATCAAGTTACTCTACCTTAGTCCAACCCTTGTGTATGGACCCCCAGAGGGTAGGTTTGGCTTTCAAAGCCTTCTGAGGGGGTCCCAGTAATAGAGGCACAGGCCCAGAGGAGAAGTTGCACTGATTAATGCAACTTTCTCGAAAAGTAGAATAGTATACATGAGAGTCTCCACTCAAAAAGAATAACAAGGAAATCCATGGGTCTCAGAAATAACTCCCTGGTAACTCTGTGGGTCTGCCATTTGTCTGTGTGCCAGACCAAAAGGGACAGTTGTTTCTACAAGCTCAGTCCCATAACAGAGTATTCCAACCATCCAAGGAATTAATTCCCTACTTAAAAACAGGCGGCGAGATGCATTTTCAAAAACCTAAAAGATACAAGAGCAACTGTATGGAGGAAGGGGGAAAAAAATCTAGTCAGTAAAATTTAGAAACTTTTAATACACAATCTCATTTCTCAAATGTAATTGCCCAGTGTTCTGTTTCACCATCTCAGCTGATGGAATGCTAGAGGAGAGAGGAAAAAAAGGTGGCACTGGAGCAGAGACATCCAAACTGACATTTAAATTAGAAGCATCTTCCTTTTCAAAATGGAAACGGGGTGGGATTGGCAGCAGCTGACACTGATCCAGTTGGTTCATGGCCACCATGCAACAAGGTCTCAGGGCCTTGACAATACGGATTCCAGGAGCTCTTCTATTTCTTAACCTAGGTGCAGAGTCCCTGCAGCAGCCTGTCAGGACCCACTTGCGTCGCCGCCCCTGTGGTTACCAAGGTAACCTATCCATACTGCATGATGCAGTCTGCATTTGACAGGTCCACCACAGGCGTTATCAAAGGGATAAAGAGGAGGAAAGGGGAAACTAGAAAGGACCTCAGAGCTTATCATTTATATAGAGGAAACTGAATTTCTTTCACAGAGCAACTCCTGTCACAGAGTAACTCATGGTTTGTCCTGTGCTCTTGAGACTTTTGCTCTGTGTCAGTCCTCCAGTTCTGCAGGGCAGTGCTCACACTGGCCTCTCCAAGCAGATTATGCTCCTGCCTGACCCCAAGGTTTATCAGATTCTCCCAACGAGCTATAAGATGCCCTTCTGAAGAAGGCAATGAGCAAAGCAGTATCTATTTCCTGCTTTGGTCACAGTCAGAGACCAGAATTGAGAAGGCTATTCTATCACCCCCTGGCAAACAGCAGGATTCAATCAGCTAGGTCTAACCAAACTAAGGTTGAAATCCTCTCGGCTCTCTAACCGCCAACCCCCCCTCCTCCCCGCCCCAATTTCCAAGACTGACAGAACTGGAACCACTGCCCATTGCTGGCCCAACGAATGAGAAACAGGACAGGGACTTAACCTGTACCAGGTACAGAATGGGAAACATTAAAAACAATGTCATTAAAAGGAGCATGACTATCGATTCTGGAGGCTTGCTTTCAACAGACGCTGTGAGGCACATGTACTTATTATCTCTAAAAGCCTCCTTTCCTACTGAATTCCTTCCTGTGATATGCAGCCCTGGGCATCAGGCTTCAAGAGCTGGGCTGGCAATCATTATGTCTCACCTAGGTCTCCCCTGATAGAAGGACCTCCAATACTCCCTCTCTGGTTTCAGTGCCAAGTTATAACCTGAAATGTAATTCTAGAGGGCCTGAGGCTGGGAATAGGTGTGGGGGTAAATGAGGATTTAAGGGGAAAATTTACCAGAAATGCCATGCATTCACGTATGCATTGTGAGACTAAACTAGCTATGGTTCATAAACACTTTTTATGTGTCAATATAATTCTTCATTCTTTAAAGAAAGTTTTCCGATTATTTATCTGAAATGAGTCTCAAAACCTCAAGGCACACTGAGCATTTTGGTTGTCCTACTTCACAGATACAAAGCCTGAGTTCCACAGAGGTTAAGAGCCCTATAATCAGCTTCAACCAGCTAGTGGCAGAGTTGAGATTTTGGCGGAAGTCCTCTAAGTCATGATTCAGAATCCTTAACAAATTACAATATTGCACATGCTACTTGACCAAACATAAAGGTTAAATCTGTGACTATATATGTACTCATCAAAATAATACAGTGAAGGCTTTTCAATAATCTGTTTTCTATTTTGAAAAATGGCTCTTGGGGGAGTGAATAACAACTTTCTCATAAACACAACTCTATGAAATTAAGATAGAAATACGTAACTTATACCTGACTGTAAAGCACACTATAACGCACAAAAGAATGCCCAGTAGCTCCTTGTTTTGATTAAGGTACAGTGAGCTGTCAATAATTACGATAAAAAATCATGCACACTTACTGCAATTGGCATCCCAAATCATTGTATATGAAAGTTTCTCCCATTCTGTGAACTGTTTGTTCTTCAGCATCTTCAAGACATCTCTACAACAAGAGGTCAATTTGTCATGTTTGAATGCCGAGTCCAGGCCACAGCCACAGTTGAAGTTCACTGGTACAGAGAAAAAGAACAGATAGCAGACTCAAAGGACTTCCGGTTTCTGAGAAAGAAGTATCATGATAAACTTCTCAATTTGCTATTTATTCTAATTAACCTTGAAATCTAATTCATGTTTTAAAGTTTAATAGATTGTTACAGACTCAGATATTCGTATTGTTCATTGTTATTTCTAATCCAAATATTCCTCAACAAAAAAGATAGCTGTTTTGTTTTGATGAAACAATAATTTTAATATCTGTGAAAAGACTGATTATTTTCGTAAATTAATCTTAACTATCCTCCTAATGAGTTCTTGGCATACAAACAAGAAAAAAAATGTGAGAACATATTTTTTAAAGAGTAAAACAAATGAAAACTGATGCACAACTTTTTAAATACTTTTTAAATACTTTATTGTGTGTCCTACCGAATAACTAATTTAGGGAAAGGTAAAAAATATGATGGCTTCTCTTATGCTAAACACTGAGTTTATACTTTATAAACAATTTCTCCTTTAATCCTCACATCACTATTTTGAGGTATGTGTTATTATCTCCATTTTACAAGTAAAAAAACTAAAATCAGAAACTTTAAATGTCTTGCCCAAGGTCACATAGCTAGAAAATGCTGCAGGCAGAGATCAAGCCCAAGACAGTTATTGCACCAAGTGAAGAAAATATATTTATTTAAATATGAATTCAAAACAACTGAACATTTGCACATCACATTAAAGAAGAAACGTCTCTATTATACAATAACTTTCTTTTTAAAATAACATTTACTGTATTTTCTGCAACTAATACAAATTATAATAAATCTAGAAGATATATAACATAAAGAAGAAATTTTAAATTACTCATATTCTCACTACCCAGAGAAAACTATTATTAGCCTTTAGTGTATGTTTCTACAGTACTGTTATACTACAGTATTTTTATAATGCAATATTCAACTTTCTTTTAATTAGAAGCATTAAAAGAAAAGGATTCTTTTGGGATAAAAAGGCTGCCTCAAGGTTAGTGTTTCAGCAACTGTTCACATTCAGAGAAGAGATATTATCTCAGAGCTGAAGAACAAAGGCCCAGAGAAGTAAAGTAATTTTCAAAGTCACAGAGCAATTTAGTGGCAGAACGGGACAAAAATACAGTTCTTCCAGCACCTGCCCAGTGTTCGTTCCTCTATGCACTTTTTGTGAGTTCCTACAGAAGCTATAGTCTGTGACTCCAGATCACATTCAACCTTGTATTTGCTTCAAGTCATTTCTCATATACACATGGCCCCTTCTCCCAACTAAATTGTCATGATTTAAATTCTCTGTTCTCTTGTTTTATCTTTCAGAAGATTGTTTATCATCCATTCCTGGTAAGCAAAATTTTTCAACATCTTGATAATAAATGATTAAATCAAAAGTAGCATCCTAAATCACTTTTGTCTTCATGAGCATTTTGGGGGCTACCCTATGCCAACTCTTGAACTTACACCACAGAGGAAACAAGATAACTTGGATCTTTAATAGTATTTATCTATTCATTCATTTAACATATATTTCCTGAGGACAGACTAAGGCCAGGTTCCATTACTGCCCATAGTTCCTGCCCTCACAGAGCATGCGTTCTTCCATTAATTCCACTGGGCACAGTATTTGTGACTCATGAGCTATACATAGAGGCGGTAAAAAGGTGTCCTAACAGCAAATTGTTGCTTGTCTAAGAAAAGAGCTGTGGTGCCCATCACACACTGCCCATCACTGTACTAACATTAAGTCTAACTACCATGGCAACAATCATTTTTAGGTCAGTTCAGAAAAGCTTTCTCTAGGACCTTTACGCTAAGCGCTAAAGCTACAGGAACCTAGAAATCAAGGAATAAAGCGTAATTCCCTCTTTCAAGGAACTCAGTCTAGTAGAGAAAGCAGATGTGTCTGAGAGGCAGGTGATAGGAACCATGTTGGTACTCTTTTAGGCTGTATTTTAAGATTTCTCTTCATAAGCCCATTCAAAGACAGAAAAATCTAACCAGATGATGTTGTTTTTTCAATCTCAGGAATACTCTATTTATTCCCAGTACCTAACTCACCCTGACACCCTCCCACACTATTTGTTTGCTAATTCAGGGCACCCAAATACTCTCCAATCTCTTCCCTTTACAGAGGAAGTCTGCACCTTGATTATCACAGAAGCATTTCCTTAAGACTCTGGGGAATTCAAGTGCATTGCAAAAAATGAGGCTGGGACTGCAGTCTCCACAGCAAGATTCTTAGTTTCCCCAGGTAATCACTCTTCAGGGTCTATCTCCCTGCTCCAATTCAACCTGAGCCAAGAGGAAGTCTCTGCTTCTATCTGAACTGGTGATTAATTATATTTTTCAGAAGTGGAGAAATCAGAGAGTTCTCCAAAGTTCCCCATGAGGAAATTTTCTCCCAAACTGGCTTCCTTTCCCTGGAGCTGTGACAGCTACACAAGGGACAAAAATCCAGACAATACCCTCATAAACCTTACACCAACTATTCCTGAACCAGCCAATCATACTGACAGTGAGCTCCAGATTCCAAAGGAGGGTTTCTGCACTATCAATGAAAATCCCTCTGGGCTACAATCACAATGGTAAGGGCAGACAGACCTAATATGCAACTCATTCAACGACTGTTCTTGGTTCTGCAGATAGAACAGTGAATGTGACAAAGCTCCTGCCGCATGGAGCTTGCATTCTGAGCTGAATCACGTTAACTGTCATTTCTCTCTTGCCTCCTACATGCATTTCCCCAAGGATGAAACAGTAAGTTATGTGCTTAGGTTTGTATTTAATGATTTGTTACAGAGACTTACTGGAAAAAAAAATCAGCAATGCTCAAATGGCACAAGATTTTTAAGAAGTGGTATTTTTTTCAAAAATAGAATTCAGTGTCCTATCTCAACATATGTATGTAAAACATTTTGTGATACAGGTTTCTTCATGGTCAGTCTTAGAATTGTCCTTGTATTCAGAGCACAGGTGTATAAATGGAAAGGTAATTCAGTAAGTAAATCTGCCAACCAGGCTATGTTTAAAACAATACAGCCCACCACCAGCCTTACCCCCCAAATACAAACCTCAAATCAAAATATTGATTTAAAAAATAGTCTAGGGGTGGCCGGTTAGCTCAGTTGGTTAGAGCACAGTGCTCATAACACCAAGATTGCCAGTTTGATACCCGCATGGGCTACTGAGCTGCGCCCTCCACAACCATTGGGTTGTGAGAAAAAACATGACGTATTTTTTCTATGTTTTTTGTTGCAAAAATGCATCACGACTTTTCTGACAACCCAATAGACTGAAACAACTATTTGACTTGGAGCTGATGGGTCCTGGAAAAACACACTGTTCCCCAATAAAAAAAAATTTTTTAATCTAAAAATAAAAGTCATATAAAAATTTTTGTTTTAACAGTATCTAACATAGTCCACTCAATATTTTACCAGTCTAAAGTTAAATTTAGGTTATACACTTTAATGTAACTTAGTAAATCAGCATTCTTGACTAGCTACCTAGAACTAAATGTAACCTCTGTTAACTACAAAATAAAGATATTGGAATCTCTTTTAAGAAGAGGTTTCTTGAGTAATATTTGAGTTTATTGAGAAAAATATATCATGGTAGAGATGGACGGAATCAGGAGTCATCTATGTGAAGTTCCTCATTCTACAAATGGCTAACACGTAGGTGATTGGTTTATATTGTTGAGGGCTAGTTCCTCATGCTTCTGTGACCTTGGGCTAGGTACTTCTCCCAGTGTTTCTTTTTTTGTAAAGATTTTTATTGGGGATTGGGGGATGGAAACAGTGCTGGGGAATTGGGGGAAGGGGAACAGACAAGTTGCTGTTGTTTTGTTCTTCAGTCTAGTTGTGGAGGACGCTGCTTCACTGGCCCAAGTTGGCACCATCACTGGGCTCTTCCCAGGTGAGGCAGATCAGTCGCCGGCTTCTGGACGGCCACTCACTGCGGCTGACGGCCACTCACTGCGGCTGCTGGCTACACACAGTAGCCCATGGCAACCCACTAGCAGGGGCTGTAGCCTACGCCGTCGCTGGCAACTCACGGCAGCCCAGCTCCAGGTTGAGGTGTTGTTCAGCATCTTAGCTGTGGAGGGCAGTGTCACTGGCCCTCATATGTGGGATCCGAACCGGGACCCTCTGGCGTCCCAAGCCAGCTGTTAACCAATGTGCCACTCGCCCAGCCCTCCAAGTGTTTCTTGCAATGAAGACAGTGAGGGCAAGAGTTTGAACCTGAAGATTAACAGACCTGGAACAATGCATGTGAAGTACGTAGTAGGAAATCTGTAAATAGTAGCTATTACCTCACTGCTTTTTTTTTAAGCAGGACCAGTTTATCTCCAATAAGTCTATGACTGTGATTTCTCAGTTGGTGTCCTAGAATCCCTTTAGCTTCTGAGATTTCTAATTGCCTTAGCAGTAGCTACCCCTATAAATAGTTTCCTCGTGGGTTCAAGAAAGAATGGGAACGTGGGACAATAGATAAGACTGGATAACTTATTCAACAAACATTTATTAAGCATATTTTATGTGTTTGTCAGTGTCTCTACTGGACTTGCCTTGGGAAGATGACCAATACTAATATCTAAAATTTTTCTCTGTGAGTGCATTTAGCAGTAAGACTTTAAGACTTAAAAAGACTCTGAATCTATACAACAACATCTTTCATAAGAGACTGCCACCTTTTTCATTAATAAAATCTTCCATGGGGAAAATTATTGGGTAAAAGTTCCATAAAAGTTAACAAGATTTTATGAAATGTCTAACATGAGCTACACTGCACTAGGCAAGATAAATAATAAACAGTCCCTCCCTCAGGAAAAAAGTTAACCTAATTGAGAAGCCATATTATACCACATAATAGTCCATTATATGATTTCCTGTTTCATTTGAGTCTCTCGGCAACCCTCTGATTTAGATTAGTATAACAGATGCTATCTTTGTTTTTCAGTTAATTATTAAAGCTCAGAGAGTTTATGCAAC